GTTATGTTGTTTGATAAAATTACTTTTATTTGTGATCAAATAACGAATATTGATTTATCAATGCATATTGTACTCATCATATAATCATATTGCTCAGTTTATTTTTAAATTTACAAGTTACCATAATGTCTCTGCCGATCATGATCACCCAGCCTTAGCCAGAGTGTCATTAAACCTTTCTAATATAACCACGACATTGCAATATGCGGAAAACTTGTCTCTTAAGCTTGGGCAATGACTTTAGGAGGACTTAAGAACTATTTTCTTTCAAAAAAGGAGTCGACAGTCTTGCTAGCGTATCTCTCTACTTCTAAATATATTTATGGGTTGATACCAAGACTTGAAAAACGTTTAACTACTTTACAAGTGCACTGAACTCGTTAAAGCACGCGTCTTGAGACTTTTTTTTAGTATTTTTGTCATAATGTTCGGAAACTAAATAATAAATGAATTAATGAACGTGTCGGTACTGATCTTGTAAAAGTTGTAAAAGAAGTTTATTGTTTGGATTTTAGCTTTGATGGGAGCATAATCGTGAGCGACTCTATTTTAATAACATTTGGGTGTAATACTTCAAATAAAACTATGTGCTCGTGCATCAATTGGTTTTTATACTGCTACGTTAATTAATAATAATAGCAGAGTTAGAAAAATTATTATTATAATGAAATGTGATCAATGTTAGGAAATTAATTTTTATTGGAATACAGTTGAGTTTTTTTCTGAACAATTTACTGAAGGAATTATATAACCCAAATACAATAAGAAAATTCGGTCAGCCTAAGAATTTGTAAACTATTCTGTAGGAATAAAGGTTAATATTAAAAGAAGAACTATCTTTCGTACACATTCAATTCGACCTCTCTATCATTCCGTGGGTTGATGTTTGGTTAAATGAGTTTTTTAGTTTACCTTGAATACTTTGGAAAGGAATTCCGATAATTTAAATAGAAATTGTTTTCTCTCTCTACGGGTTATCGAGTTTTTCCAATCATCCTTTTGTAACAACCTCTACCTATGGGATAGAGTCAACGAAAAAATAAGGATTACTTTTTATTATAGGCTTCCCAGAATTATCCACAATTTATTGATGAAAAAAGCTGTATTTGATTAAAGTTTTATTATAAATTTTATATTAGTTAACTCATTAACCTCGACATTCGATTGATGACAACATGTGTGAAGGAGTGGACTTTTGCATCAAGATACATCACTCTCACAAGGAGAACCTCAGGTTTAAACTTATGGGATTTTGATGATACTAAGCATGCAGAGTTCATAGTAATACCGAACAGTATAAAATATTATAGGCCTATGAGCAATAGTTTAATTATAAAAATTAATCAAAGTTTTAATTTGTGAGTCAAATTATTGAGATTTATAATTTGTAATTGTAATTTTTAGTTGATAATTATTAGAAAATCTTAAAATATGTTGTGCTGGGCGGCTTTCTGTATCGTATAGCAGTGTCTAATAACATACCAATTGTGTTGTATTTAAAAAAAAATTGATCTCGTACAAGTATAACGATTCAATAAATATTTATTTACTCTGTTCGTAAATGTTTAGAAATGACTGGATCAAATTTGACAGACGAAGAGCATGTGCTTGACCTCAGCGCTATGTGTCTAGCTAATTTCAAGTGCATCTCCGAGTCTAGCTAAAAATAATCCAAGAAAATTCATTTAGGAGACTGCAAAAAGTAAACAGAGAACCAGTTGACAGATTAATTATTGGAGAATTATGTGAGAACAAAATTTAATAGATCATTCAATTATCGAGTCGAGGATACAATGAATTTTATTGGTTTCTTGCAGAGTTTAGGGACTAGGAATATCTATATACTAAAAATCGATTTTTTCGCATATTTCAAACTGTTCAACACTATGCGTACAAAGGGATTTCGCAAAATTTGTATAATTTTAGCTGTTTGACTACTCTCTTTTTTGATACGATTCCCACGATTTCTCTACATCTACTGGACCGATTTACTTAAAATTTGTACAGTGCCGAAACCTGCTAGACCTTTCATGAAAATTTAATCAGTTCTTCTTCTTGTTAATACAAGTAAAATGTTTTTTGAATTATTCAAATCGGATGCTCGGTTCTCTTAAAAACTGAGTTACCGTTTTTGGCACTTTTTGTCCCATATCTTCGGAACGGCTAGACCTGCCTTCGCCAAAAATTAATCAGCACGTCTCCTTATCAATACGAATCGAATGTTTTTACACGCACATCACACACACACGCAAACACACACACATACATCCATTTTTTCTAAGGTATACCAAAATGTTCAGAAGGTTTTGAAACGTAAAGATATATACAAAATTTTTATTTTCGATTTTTTTGTGATTACTATAACTTGCTCTACGGGAAGTTAAAAAGTGAATCAAACATAGACAATAAGAAGCAAAGGATAAAATGTCGCAGCCTCTCGGACTTTTATATTATTTAAGTCATCAATTATCTTGGTTTTACTTTCGTCTCGTTTAATAGCGGCTCGGCTTTTAATCTATATTTACATCTGTGGTTATTCAGTAGCGTTTTATTCAATGACTGTCTCTCTATGTTCACACAGAATTATATACAGAATAGATTGCTCGGAAGATTCTGAACCGATGGAATAACGAATAATGTTTTTACGAATTTAATAATAACACTTTGCATTAAACTTTGTTTAATTTTAATTTATATCAGGTGTATCATTTTTAACTTTAACAAGTTGCGTAACTAGTGGAAACGTATAGGTATAACTAAATGGATGAGTGGATGAACAATGGTGATACATCTTATTTAAAATAAAAATTTGATTTATAGTAATTAAAATTTTGTTGAAAATACACTTGTTGTGTCGCCCTCATTGGGCATGTTGGTAAGTTTTTGGCAAAGATAAGTGGCCATTTTCATTTCAACTTTCTATGATGGATTTTTGTTAGTATTTTTTTTAAATTTTAAACTCATGATTTATAATCGTGATATCCATGTCTTAAGCTATTTCGAAACCGATTTTATCATAGAATAATTCGTGTAACAGCGTTTACATGTTATGTGCAATAAGTTGCAATAAGAATGTCGTAAGTAGTTAAGAAAACGTTGTTTTGGTTATCTAGATAATACGACAGAAAACTGATGAAGACACAGATAGTATTTATGTTTTATAAAGAAGATTTATTTTTATGCTTTAAACGGGTTTCTAGATTTTATAGATATTACTATAAACATAGATCGTTGCATATAACCGGATTTGTTATAAAAATGAGACAATATTGCATGAGTTAATTTTATAGAGTTTCTGCAAATTTTATTCTTATGAAAGATAACTGATCTACAAAAATTGGTATAGGGTAGGGCAGGGCACAAAGGTGCAATTTGGCTTTCAGTAATTATACTGTCTAAACTAAATGAACTTCTCGACAACATATAACATATATGAAAGAAACAAATATCGAACTATGATCAGTAAAATTCTCAGTTAACTCATTGTCAAATATTCAAAAGATATCTATCCACGAATTTTTAACAAAGTTTTTGCCGTTTTGTTCCTGTCAAATATTCAAAGATATCTGTCATCAAGATATGTTTTTATTTTATTTAATTATTAATATTAAATTACCATCCCCATAGGCATGGTAGCCAGGGGGGAAACAGATCCAACATCTTTTTGTTTAATTTTGAAGGGATTTTACTAAATAAAAGCTGTGTGATCAGGTGTTTTACACATAAAATGTAACTTCATCCATATGTTATCATGGTGAATATATATGGTGAAAAGTCAGTTTCACTTATGATAAAATTATTATATTATGTTTGTGCGTTTTGTAGGTTAGGTTTTATGCAAGCAAGTACAGAGTTTGGTACTACCAACTCACACGAGTATAGACCCGTAACATAGCATTATCATAACATTTTATTTTATCCGAGTTTCTATTTTAACTATAATATTTTGTTTTGAAATTAGAGCTTCATGTAAGTTTATATTACTGATATCTACCGATTTATTCGTAAAACTAGGAACTAGACATTTACAATTCGAGATCACAACCATTGATAGAAATGATAGATAGAAAGATTCTTTAGGTGTAATAAGAATTCTAATCTTATTAGACAATTAGTTATAAGCATTATTATTAGACTATCTTATAATAGGTAATTTACTAGATCTAAAATGCTTGAAGATCATTGCATATAATCGCATGCGTTTTGTTTTTTGAAGTCTTTTGAATAAATTTTTGTTCAAATCACAAGAAAGTTTAATATTCGATAGCAAACAACATTTGTCTGTTGCCGACATTGCTCTCTATAAACACTTGCCAGCATCAAATATCAAAGAATTTTATTAGAGTTTATATTTTTTTATGAATTTCACACATTACATATATATTATTGTTATTATTAAAAAAACTCATTACTATTGTGGGAACATTCGACGAATTCTAGTAGAGAGCACATGTGCATTAAAAAAACGTTTTCGAGCTCAGTTGTAGAATTCATTACAGATCTGTAAAATGTAACACGTTAATTTAAAAGCTTCTGTTAATTGTTATGTTAAATCTACTGCATATGAGAAATAGATTTTTCAGCAGGTATATTTATAAAATGCTATATCGATTTAAATAATTTGTGTTATGTGTAATACTCACGTGAAAGTAGACCTGTAACATAGCCTTATCACAACATTTCTTTTTTTCCCACAATTGGCTTGTTATCCTTTCAAATGTAGAACTCAAATATTTTTGAAATTCACATCACTAATTTAATTATTTTTTTCAGCCGTAAGTGATATTTGCACATTCGCCGCCCGTTCTTTTGACCGCCAATTTCGAGCAAAACAAGCGATAGAAACATCCTTGTTTACGGCCGAAACCAGACCAAATGCACTAAGGGCTTTATACGAATCTGCGGCAAAAACACCTCCTGCGTTATTGAATTTAGCAGCAGAAAATGAATCGCGAAGACAGGCATTCCCACTTGATAGTTTGCTACTATGCACTCCGGTTTTGGGAGCTAGAAGAAGAAGACAGGCTGGAAAAATTGACTCTGAAATCGAAACCAGATTGGTTAGTAGATCAAAATCTAAAACTTTATAATGATGATAAGGTTATTTCACTTCTATTCTTATAATTCTTTCTATTTTTATTTATATTTTATTATCTATTAGCCTGCTGCAATAGTAGAACTTCGCCGTTGGACCTCATCGGAAGCTCTAGGAGATGTGACAGTTGCTCCTGATTGCGTGAGCCGCCTTCACAGCAGTTTAAATCAAACTCAGACTATGTCTTGGACATATAATGATGCTTCTGGAAGTTCGCCGACTAGAGATGATGTAGACGCAGTTATATCTGACGATGATCAACCTATTGATCATAAATTACCATCCCCCGAAGAGCAATTGCAGGCAGTCGCTTTGAAGTAAGTGAATGGAGACAGTTTTATTAGCTTTTTGAAGGAGGAGTTTGTTTTTTATCTATATAGTTTTTTAACAGCAATAACTAGAATATCCTATGCACTATTCAGTTCCATTCATTCACCAGCACTTATAAACTATGAATAACCACAATATATTGTGCTAAACTTCAGTGGCTGTTACTTATCTCTCCAATGAGTGATTCACCAATTCAGCACAGTTCTCCAAAGATGTAGTAAAGTAAACGCCTTAAATATTTGGCATCTTCCTTTCCAGCATTCTTCAAACTGCAAACTGGTGCCTCAAGAAGTTGATCGACTATAGACTTAGTATGATCTTCCAGTTGTAGAAACTGTTGAACACTGCTTAACTTTATTATTAAGTAATCATTCAATTTCAATATTAAGTCTAATAATTTTACTCATTAATGAACTCCCACTATAGTATTATCAATAGTAGTTATCTCGATATTTTTTGTATTGTTAGTTTTATTTTTGGCATATTAATGAAATTTCACTAAACTTAGGTTCCCAGCCGTTGTTGTCGCTGTCGATGTGACTGGACGACGATTCGATCGCATGTCTCGGTACAGGCGAACCGCAATTGGTACATCATCTACCGCCAGTTCCAGCGCGGCCAACACAGCTGGACCATCGAACGCTGGTGGTAGTACTACCACCGCTTCGGGTGAGGGTGACCTACCATCGGGAACTGTTCGAAGACGATCATCAAGACCAAGGAAACCCAGAGGGAAAAGAAGGAACACGATAGCAGGCACCGATCGACAGGAGATACAGCAAGCTGTTAATGGGTAAATGAAACTTTTATTACAGGATTAACATAAATAACTTAGGGCTACTTTGAAAAAACGTATGTTTTTCATATGTATATATATGCCAGTAAATAACCTTGCATTGTTAGTCATTATTATAGTTTGAATTTATTATGTTTCGGTTATTCTCTACATATTTTATCACTCTAAAGTGGCAAACAACAATTATATACATATACACATTATCATTTTGTATATATTCATGAAACATAAAATTAAGTGTTTTTAACAGTGTGGTTAATATTGTCGAAATTAATTTAAAAAGCAGAAATGTGAACTCGTGAAACCTCATTGAAAAAATAATTTAATTCTACAAAATATTTCCGTTGTCAGTTATTTTGATATATTAATAGATATTCTTTAATCGGTAGAATTACTGAGTTCACGAAGCATCATTTCTCAATGAAAGTTTGCACGCCAAGTATTAATTATTGATGTTTTAATTCATAATATTAACAATAACATAAATATACGTTCGTTAACGAATTTTTTCTTGAACTTTTTTTTTGTTCGTGATTTTTCGCGAATATCGCATGATCGATACTAACAAAAATAATTATTGCCACAAACTCGGGCAACTTACTTTTCTCAAACTGCTGGAGAATTGATTCTAAATTACTTTAGTCTCTGAATTAAAATTAAACTATTAATCGAACATTGGCGCACTCAAATTCTAGTTATCAGCAGTATTATTCTTGTAAATGTTTGATTTGCAAAATTCAAGATTTGATCGAATGAATAATTGTCAGCGAAACGTAACATTAATGATTAGCAAAGAGGTAAAAGAAGTTCTTTAAACATTTTTCCAAAGCCGAAATGTAAATATTTATATTTTATATCATATTCATAAATTTACAAGTAGTTTTGAAGTAGTTATTTTTGTTATTGATGCCGTCATTTTCTAATAACACAATACCTTAACCGTTTTATTTTTAGCGAACACAGCAACCCGGATGCGATCGAAATTGCCTCAACCGTCCCTCAGATCACGTCTCCCGATCGTTCCAGCCGAAGTCATTCCGGTGATCCTTTGAAGTCAACAACAAAGCGTTCGCACTTCAGCGCATTGATCAGACAATGGGGTAAATCACGTCTGAAGTTAACGAATTTACGATCATCTGACGCCAAAGTTTCCGAGATTGAAAATGTTAATCTCCAAGAAACACGGGCTGACCATGAACCAAACGAGTTCCAGCATCAACACCAGAGAAAGTATTCATCTTCGTCGGATAAATCTTCTGCGGTGGCGGTGGTGAGATTAAGAGATCCTACAACGCAGCGAAGAAACAGAGATGAACCTCATTCTTCGAGCGGAAATTGGAGCGCTAGTTCCGAAAGCGGGCGAGCTTCTATAGGATCCGAAACCACTACGACCCAGCCTAGGTCCACTCCTACAATTTCTGGTTCCTCTGGAATGACTCCAGGCTCAGTTGGAAGTCGCAGAAGGTTTGCTGATACCTCTGCTTCATGTAGCGAAGGGACGCTGACACCTGATTTGGCCTCTCACATCGATGATGAGACAAGTTCGGCCTATTCTTGTGACACGGAAGGATATTACACTTCATTCCACGTTGACAGTGGTCTGAAAACGCTCAGGGAAGAAGATGCAACTATGCCGGTGACCCCTCTTCACTGTTCTAATGCATTGCACACCACTGGAGAAAGCGAATACGAATTATTCGGTAGAGGATCGACTTCGACTACTACAAGTTCAGCTGGAACAGTTTGTACTACTTTGCGAGCTTCCGGTAGCGATAGAAGTTTAATGGTAGGGCCTGCAGTACCAGAGCGCAAAAGCTCGCTGACTAAATTGGACAGAAGCGGGTCAAGCAGTAGCAATATAAGTGGCACTTTAGATCGTTGTGGTACAATAAAACGAAATGGTATTCTACTCAAAAAAGAACCCAGTTTACCACTCTTGGCACTGGAGAAAAACAAAGGCGCGGAAAGTCCCGATAGTGGACACAATACATCTTCTTCACCAATCGAATCAGCGGCTAGTCCCAATGGATGTTCTGAGTTTTCTTCAGAATTTTCGGAAAGCTCAGACGTAGAGGGTGCTGATAGAGCAGAGCGGATAAGGGCGAAAACAGCAATTAATTCAAGTCGCATTCCATCTATGTGCGCTATAACTCCACCTCATAGCGACGACGAAGGAGAACAAAGTGATAATTCTTCATCGAAACGAGAAACGTCATCAAAGCATGTCGTTATGAATACAATTCCTGGAACTTCGAAAATTCAGCTAATTAACGTTGATCGCGAAACGGGCTACGCGACTGTCGAAACCGTTCAAACGCCTACGCGAACTTCACATGAGAGCGTGCGAACCACCACTTTATCAGCTCTGAAGAAATCGCCCCTATGGGGTAAGATTCGTGGAGTGTTGCCACATTTGAAAAAATCCCCCGTGGCAACTAAGTTGGACATGACTGATGGAGGCGAATACGTTACAATTGCAGATGTGCGGAATAATAACGAGAAAGCAACAAAACCCATTGAGCAGAACTCAAGTTTTTCCACATCAGAATACGTCAGTTTAGATGAATTGCCGCGAATTTTGCCTTCAAATAGCAAATCGATTGATAGCGCGTCCAGCGCATCGTCTCTAGAGCGCAGACGCGTGGCGGGACAGGGCGCTCGTGTCACCGTCGATTGCGAAGGACGCGTCGTGTACTCGAGTAATAGTCTTAAGCGCAACAAGCAGCATAGCACATTCGAACCAGGACCGTGTGTGAAGACGGCTAAAGAATCGCCAGCCACCGGTAAGCTCGTGGTCCGAGCGGGAGAACCAGCGGAACGAGTTCATCCTATCATCGCTCCTACGACGAGGATTCCATCTGCAAATCAAACTGGAGCGTACGTCAACATTCAGGATAGTGATCCCACTAGAACGATAGGTAAGCGTAAAATAAATCGCACAGCGAGTTATCTGAATGCGAATCGGCGGCTAGCGCCAATTACTGACAGGGCAATCGATCGCTTTGCGAATGAAATCGCCGCAGAATTGTGGCGGGAGCGTATCAATTACCCAGCAAGCGTTTCGCCAAAGTCTTACGGCAAGTATCAACTGCCTAAGGTGAATCGTACTCCTGTAATTTTAAATCCGCCCGAGCCTCTAACGCGTCCTCCAGAAAATTTATTTCCGTGCGGAAAGGTAACGTTACCCGCAGATAGGTTAGAACACCGCGCGCGAATTCTCAGTAGCACAAATCTAGACCTGGATACTGAAATTTGGTAGTATCTGCCATGATGGACTTTAATTTATTTATTTTTACTAAAATATCATTTATATATTCATTTACTATCGCAATGCCCGTAGAATCGTTTATAAGAATTAATAGTATTTATTAAAAGACATCGAGAACAAATAATTTTATTGCTTTGAAACTATCGTATATTTATTAAGTTTGCAAGCTACAATGACTATAATTTATAATACAAAATCTATGGATTGAACAAATTGACAACGCCAGGTTTGAAGAGCAATAAATACATTATCTGCCAGTTTTATTAGAATTTATTTTAAATAATGCAAACGTTATCCCTCTTATAACATTAATACATTCATTGTAATTTACTTTGCATGTAAAAATTTAAATTACTATTAAATTAAGGCCAAGTCTCAACGCCATATTAATTTTTAAAAATCATATAGAAGATATTTTACTGAAAGCTGAAACCACCTCTAATTCCAAGTAAATATAATGTAAATATTTTTTTTGGATATAAAAAAATATAATTCGTTTAATATTTGAATGAAATGTTTGATTAATATTGTATATGTTGCATGCTTTAGATGTTAAATGCACCCATAATTCACAAAGAATTTGCCTTGCAGGTTTTACACAATGCACATTGTATTATATTTGTAAATATTTTATGTATTTATTATTTTATATGAAACCAATATGTACAAATAGGCAACATGACTATAAAAAAGAAAAGATAGTCATTAAAAATGATTTAATTAGTTAATATGATTTCTTTTACTTTTGCGTTATAGAAAATAAAATAGTTTACGCAAATGTTTTTATTTATAAAATTTCTAGATTTTATTAATTTTTTTAGTTTTTTCAGTTCCTAAAAGTTAGAATTTTTGTTTGTATAGTTTTAAATTTTTGATTTCTGATTATTCGAATGAAATTTATTATTCCTACCTTGATTTTTTATATTTAAATTTTTATTTTATAACAATATGATTATCATTTTGTACATTTTTTTTTTCAAATGAGCAAATAATAGAACAAACATTTATGGATAAATCTTTAATTTCAATCGTAAAAGTAATCGTGTGTTATAAAATATATTTCTACTCTTCTGTTTATTTATTTAATATACTGGTTTAATTTTATAAGCGCTTATTTCAGAGTTATAATTTTTTGTGAAATAGTAAATCAATGCTCATCAGTTGTTTGTCGGATGATACATGCATGTTTTTGTTTTTGGAATAAATAATTTATTTTAATTGATCAATTTTCATTGTAGAATCAAGTAATGTGTGTGTTAATGCTTATTTTTAATTAATATTTGTGCAACAATAATAGCAACTACTTGAAACTACATAAGAAATGAATTGAGCAGAATCATTGATAGTTTTATTTAACGTTTAAGGAAATATAGCTATGATATTGAATTGATTCTAAATATAAAGCAGTTAATTAGTTTTGAGTAAAAAATTTTAGCATAGCTATATTTCAAGGCAAGTGTAATTAATAAGGTACTGAATGTTTTGGTTTCACTGTTTTAAGCACTTTTTAGGTATAGCTGATTTTGTGAATGTTTCAATATATATTTTGCACTATAAAACTCACTCATCAAAAGCTTCTGCGCATTCTAATTAACATTTCATTGTGATTCATAATTACAATGTTTATCAGTTTTTTGCAAAAATCATTTATATGTTGTGGTTATTGTATTACAGAAAGTAACACAGCAGAGAACTAACATACGAGATTTAATCGTAATATAATCTTTTTTTAAATTAATATGTTGTCGTCCAATTCATTAAGTATTACTTTTTGTCACATATAAGTTATTTCGAATGAAGGATAAAATGATTAATAAACTTGGATATTTCACAAATTTTATTTGATGAATTGTACGTAAGTAACTATATATTGTTCAATCTTTCATATATTGATAAAAAAGAATACATGACTTATTATTATTATAGTAATTTGTGAAATTTTGTAGTGCATGTATATAATATTGAACCATATGCCTGACCTGTATAGTACAGATTTTTGTTTATTTGTTATGTTTTCTCGTTCTTTTCATTGTAATATAATGGTTGAGAAATTAACAAATGTGCTTTATTTTATGCATGATACTTTATTTTAGCATCCCATTGTGATTGTTTGCTTTGCAATAAGGTAACTCAAATAATT